AATGCCGGAGAGCGAAGGGGAGGTGGGGCGAGCGGGCAGGTTGGAGCACGCCGCCGACAGGGGGTGCCCTTCGATCCACCCGCAGCCGCCGGCCCACCCTCCACACCAGGCCCCGAGCCCCGAACCCCACCACCCGCCGGAGCCGGAGCACAATCCTTCATCAGTTCTTGCTCAGCAGGAGACAGCCCATCCCACGCAGACTGGGTGAAACGAGGGTCCGTACCATTCAAGGAGTCCTCAAGACCCCCACCACCCTCCTTGCTTTTATCATCATCACTCGAGGCCGGGGGGGGGGAGGGGGAGGAGGAGGGGAGTCAGAGCCTGGGGCACCCTCCACCCGGACCCGAAGACGAAAACCACCAGCCGCCGGGAAAACATCAACAGTGCCACGAATGCATATCGGGTCCACACACCACACCCGAAGCCGAGCTGGTCCAAGAACAGATAGCGAAGCTAGGTCAACCTCAATTGGTTTCCCGATCAGCACCCCAAAAGCCATCAGGAAAGACAAGGTGCGCATGCTGGGAGGCACATCATCCACTAACACCCAAACATCAGATAGAGAGGAAATGGACTTTGACCCATTGGAAGCAGCTTTGACCGAGACCACAAGTTGGTTCAGAGGAAGTGTGAAGCTGGTGCAGGAAGACATCATGCGAAGACTCTCTTTAGAAGGAAAAGTGGCCGCAAACTCGAAATCAGAGAGTTGGCGAATCTGCCAATCCCAACCACCTTCATCCCACAAACGGAGTTCGTCCAGGAGGGCTTGCGGAGAGATGCGCTTGTCCTGAACAGAAATGACACCAACATTGGACAACGAGGGGTTGGGGGCAGCAACAGGAACTTCCTTGTCCAGGGCAAAGAACGAGCAGCCAGGGAGGCCGATACCGTAGTGGATGAAAGAGGGAGGCTTGACCCTACTTTTGGCAGTCCACCGTGAGGTGACCGTCCTCCCTACAGATGAGACAGAACGGAGGATTCTCGACACGGGGTTGAAAGTGGCCAGGGCGATGACACGCGAAGCAGGTGAGGATGGGATTGGAAACCTGGGAGTGAGAGGAGTTGCGGCTCGCGCCACGAGAGGGTGGCGGGGGGAGGATGCCATCACCAGGAGGACCACCACCGGCCCCAGCGCCAGCGCCACGCCCCGCAGCCGCATCGAACGGGCGCCGGACAGGGGCCCCTGAGCCGCCACGAGGGACGAAGCGGGACGGCCTGCCACCGCCCACCGCCGGCGCCCGCGGCGGCCCACCCGAGGGGGCAAGCGAGGAAGGAGACGAGGAAGGTCCCGAAGAACCCGCCCGGCTCCCCCGCGCCGTCTGTTCCCAGGGATCGGCCACAGGCACCGGAGCAGAGGGCGCCAGGGGAGGAGGTGCCGACGGCCCAGATCCAGACACACGAGGGGATGCGGCGCCCGTCTCCGACCGCGAGGCCTGGAGCTTAGCGCGGAGCGACACCTCATACTCCAGATCCGCAGCAGCGTCACCAGAACCGTCCCGCCCCCGCTTGAGACCAGAGACAGCCTCACTGGAGGACCCGCGGGAGCGATCCATCGCAGCCACCGACGCGAAGGGGAGAAGGAGGGGAGGAGGAGGCGTGGATCTGACGAAGCGGCGGATAGGGGAGCGGCGCCGTCGCAAGTCCGCGGCAGAAGCAGGAAACCCTAGAAAAGGGGGAGCCGAACCCCTCCGGACCCATATAAAGCCAGTGCCAGACAGGCCGGGCTCACCCAGAGGGGCCGAAGGGAGAGAGGGACGCAATTGGGCCGGCCTTGGCCCAAGAGGCACGGAAACGAGGGGGGGGGGGAATCGACCACGGAACCCAGCGAAGGGACAAGCACAGGCCCACACGGCCCAGCACCAACCTGAGGAGCCCGACCCACGGCCCAAGGCACCAGCGCCAGCCCCGATCCCAGATCTAGGGTTAGCGCCGGCGCCGGCGCCGCCGGGGAGGGGAGGCCCATGGACGGCGGCGAGCCAGGGCGAACCGCCACCAGAGGGGAAGGAGCCGGCGAATCAAGGACAGCCACCCCAGGACCCACCAGAGAGGGATCCGACGACCAAGAGGCGGCGCGCCGGCGCCCACGGCCAACACGACACCAACCATCCGAACCCACACCCACCACGACCGGCCGGCCCCGGCCCCCCGGAGCGAATTTACGCCGGCGACCCGCCGCCATTAGAGACGACGACTCAGCCACCGAGGTCGGGCGGGGAAGGGGAGAAGGGACCTCGGAGTCGGATTCGGAGCCAGAATCGACCGAGCCCAAAGCCCAAAACCGGTTAGCCCGGGGCGCCTCCAGGGCCACCGGGCTGGGAGGGGGAGACACGGGAGGGAGGGGGTCGGGCCCCGCCGCCGGCGGGGAGCCCGGAGGGAGGCACGAGGGAGGAAGGGGGCTGGGGTTCACACGAGACTTGGACGCCGACGGAGGAGAGCCGCGAGCCGGCGACGCCCCAAGGGGGGGGGAGAGCGCGAGAGGAGGGGAAGAGAGCGCCATCCTCACCAACCGCCGTATTGTGGTGCTTATGACGGCGTACGTATTGTCGTACGAACCAACCCCCGATGCTTATTTGTACATGGTAGACGCTTATTTCTCTAAGCATCTTTCTAAGCACTTCCCATCGTACAAGTTTTTAGTGCATTGTTTCGGGGTACCAGTCGACCGTCAGCAGATAAAAGCGGTGACGGGGAGCATCGCTTCGCGCGTCAACGGCGCACATCGATGGGTAATGAAGTAGTGTTATTGACTCCAATTTTGTCCTGCCTTTGCTAGCTTGCCGGGACAGACAATAGAGCACCGAACGAAAACCTGATAAACCTGAGAGATAAAATAAACTTTTTATAAATGCACGAAATAAACATGCGTAGGTAGTAGTACTAGTACTTGTTGCATCTGTTCACTCCTCGGGAATCAGGCTACTTTTGCTCGTGAATCCTGACGAGTTATTATGGCCTATGGGGGTTGGTTCGTTTGACCATGGTGTGCACTCGCACTGCACTGCACTGTGGTGTACTGTGGCGTATGTCAGTGTGACGGGATTTAATTCATTGCAAGAGGGGCCATGTGAACCCAATCTCTGGTTCACACTTGACACCAGCGACTCAACTCATGTCTCATCATGGCAAGGGCAAGAGCAGCAGTAACAGTCCTCGCGGCACAGACCCCTAACCTTTCTGCTCTGCTCTGCTCTGCCTGTACGAATCCATATGTGATTGCGTGCTTACTTTCTGATGAAGAAAACATGACATCAAGTCGAGTAACTAGAACAACAATCAATGCGTCAACATGTGTGCAGCGTAGTGCAGGAGGAAGAACACTGCAGCACCTGGATTTTGTGAGTGTGCTGTACTTCATTCACTGTGATGAGCGTCAAAAGAGAGGCACATGCGAGCCTAGATCTAGCTAGCGCATTGTTTAAGCCAACTTTACACAAATAAAAACTCTGAACTCGATGGCTTTTTCCTCTTAGTTTTATTTGGTTGACCTCAAAGCATCACATGAGCCGGCATACTGTGCATGTGGGTTTTGCAGGCTCAGATTCATTCCTGGAATCAGTATAGATATACAGTTCCAGCGGCAGCGCAAAAGATCCATTCATTCATTCATATCTGCAGCAGCCATTCCATGCAGGAAAACATGTTCAGTCCACTCTCTCTGCTCGCTGCCTAACGGTCGGCACGGCACGCAAACTGTCAATCGGCACCAAGATTTATTTACATTCGTAGACAGACAGATGGATTCCTCATCTCACCGCTTATTTTATCACCATCATCAGTGTGTAAAACCCGGATCCGTCCACTACCTGATGGACGGCTCAGATGGGGCGCGATCGGGCCGCGGTGCACGTGATCTGGACCACTGGGTTGGCTGCGAGTGTGGCTTGCAATCTACGGTGTCAGGGAAAGCGGTCCATAATATGGTGGCGTTTGGCGTGCCCGGGCGCCCTTTTCGGCATGGTTTCTACGTAGCCCCACGCCGTTCAAAGTGGTGGATGCCTCACCCCCATCCCCATGGATTTGATGGGAGTGTATCACCTACGTACGTACTGTACGTAGTACCACCCAAGTTCCAAATCAATCATGCGTACATCTGTCTCATAAATCCACACCAAGTATCCAAGTTTACAATGAGCACTAAAGTTTATGTTTACGGAAATGTTAAAAATGTGGCTCGGATTTTTTATGCTAAAAATCTGATGATAATATTTGTCATGCGAAAGTACGTATATATCTTCTGAATAACCCAGCTGCACATCTTGACACTTTACAACGCACATCTGATCATGAATCGTTGCTAGCATATTCCAAGCGTGCACCCACTGCTTCACGTGAAACCCCGTACGGTACAGTAAAAGCAGAACACACATGAAAAATACTAGTAGTAAAAAGAAACCTGGATACGTACGATGACAAAAGATGAGATTTTGTCACCACATTTCACCGAGAAAACCCTCTTGGAAACGAACAGAGAGAAGAGGGCAAAACTGTTGATCAAACCGGATCGAGAAAACAGCTGTAGTTTTTCTGTCCGTTGCTCCTCGTCATCAGTTCCCAGTTCGCAACTCCTCACATCGCATGCACGCGCGCCCCTGCGCTTCTCGCGTTTCACGGGCAACTCCCAACCCCCCCGTCGTCGTCTTCTCCAACCTCTCGCCCCGCCTTATCACCACCTCGCTCTCTTTTCCCTTTTGCGCTCTTACCAACTGCACTGGACTGAGATCCATATATAACCAGGCAACCACCGCTGCCCCTCTCTACAGCCCAGGGGTGCCGTGCCGCGAGGAGAGAGAGAAGGAGGGGGAGGGGGAGGGGGTCCGGGGGAGGGTTGGTGGTTGCGAATACCAGGAGGCCGCCGGGCATTGGGCTTGGGATTCTTGGTCCTTTCGCCAGGACAGCAGGACCAAGGAGGCGAGAGGACCACGGGTACAGTGAGAGGGCGCTGCCGAGGTGTCCCCCTAGCCGCTTCCTCTTTCTCCTCCGTCTTCTCGGGGAGAGAGGAGATGGGCGAGACGGCCATGGCCGGGTACGGGCTGGACAGGCCGCCGCGGTGCAGCGTCAGCTTCGACACGCCGTGCGGCGCCCTGCTGCGCGAGCTCGAGGTGCGTCCCTCTCACC